TGGGGAATTTCTTCATTTCTGCTTTGTTGCGTCGCCTTTTATTTACTGCGAACAACGGACAGGGAACAATGCACCCTGTTGGTTGGAAAATGGCCGTGGAAACGATGAAAATTGTGAGCTATGTTTGCCGGAATAATGCCCAACGAGGTCGGGGTAAAAGGTGGGTGAGAAAAATACCAGCACGTTAAATTGAATTTAACGTGAAATGCAGTGAAACGAAATGAAATTTTCGCTGTCGCAGTGTCTAACAAGTGGGAAAGCAAAACAAAGCGGCAAGAAAATTGAAAATAAAGGCGAGCGGAATTGCAGGAAAATAGCCGATAAGAAAGGGAGCTTCAGAAGCGGGATTATCAAACATAATACGAAACTATAGAGGGCGGTGAGTGTATCCAGCCAAAAGCAAAAAGCAAATACTTCAAACGAAATGAATCGAATCGAAACGAAACGGAACGGAGGCAAACGAAAGCGAATCGAATATTTATTGCCTTTATTAGCGAGTCGATTGAAAAATTTACTGCGCTCAAATTCTATCTGGAACGCTTCGCTTCATTCACTGCGAAGCCAGCTGCTGGCTTTTCCTGGGGTTTTCCTGGGTTTTCCTTGCGATTTCCTAGGGGTGCAGGGCTCTGGCTCTTCCTGGGCATTGTGCGCCGGCACAGCCAGCAATTCATCTCCGCGCCGCGCTCCAAAACTTTTCCATTTTCAGCTACCTGACGCTGATGCTTCATCCGAAGGTGGCAGCATTTTTGAAATTTCACTGGCTGCTGCAGCTTGTTTTTCACTTCCATTGCCGTTTGGTTTGAGAGATTTCCCTTGTTAAGTCCCCAGTCCACCCACCGAAAAGTCTATCTTCTGGCCCTGCCCATTTGTTTTCAATTTGCCAGCATCGCAGCATCGAAGATGTTGTTTTCCATCATCGCTCAGTTCACCCACTATCCCCTGGCAATTTGCCCTCCACGCAATACGCAAATAATTGCGTGTTTATATTTGGGAATATATTGTGCGAGTGCTTCAACTGCGACGGACGAGGTCAAGTCTACACTGAAAGGATGTTTTTGTACCGGCAAACCAGGAGTATCGATTCTAAGGCACTTGTACTGTGTTTACAAAATGTTGAATTCAAATATAATTGGTCTAAGCTGGGCATAATTTGCATTGAAAGAAATCATTTGATTTAATCAGAACGTTTAATAATATTTAATTTAACGTATTATATTTAAACTCAAGGTTTGTAAAAATATAAATTTTTTATTTGTTTTTTTAGATTTCAGGGAATACTGGTACAATAATAATATTATATTTCAAGAGAATAAAACAATACATAAATAACACTGTGCAGCATTTTTAGTGCTTTTTAAAATTACCTCGATGGATGCTATATTTTTGGATTCGTTACGAATTCCCAAGATAAACTGCGTTTTCAAAAACGTTCCCCGACGCAAAGATTCTTAGCAAAAGGACCTCAAAGTTCGAAAAATGCTGAAATTGGCCAACTTTCCGGAGCTCTCAGAGGCAAACGGATTCGTGGTTTGATTCGATGCTAAAGTTTTTTAAAAGATACACTCTTTATCTTTTAAGCCCCATACTTAAAATAATTTTAAGATTTTTTTTAAGGCAGAAATAGATTCCAGAAAACATAGTCAAAAAACTTAAAAACATACAGCTGCGGTCAAAATAGTAGTAGTGTTGCCGCCCTGTGTTTTTAAAAGTTTGTTGTTGTAATTCATCTTCTTCTGGTAATATTGTATTGACTATAATTGTACTATTAGACTAATTGGATAAGAAAAGTGACAACAAAAAACTTTTAAAAACACATGACGGCAACACTACTACTATTTTGACCGCAGCTGTATGCTTTTATGTTTTTTGACTATGTTTTCTAAAACTTGTTTCTCCCTTAATAAAAATCCTAAAATTATTCTAAGTATGGGGTTTGAAAGATAAAGAGTGTATCTTTTAAAAAACTTTAGCATCTAACCAAACCATGAATCCGTTTGCCTCTGAGAGCTTTGGAAAGTTGGCCAATTTCTGAATTTTACGAACTTTGAGGTCCTTTTGCTAAGAATCCTTGCGTCGGGGAACTTTTTGGAAAACGCAGTTTAACTTTGGAATTCGTAACAAATCCAAAAATATAGTATCCATCGAGTTAAATTTTTGATGCTGCATAGTGTAATTATTTCAAGATAATTTTTAAAATTAAATTATATGAATTAAAAATAAAAACCTTCTCAGTGGACTTTTTCTCTGCACAACAAGAAAGCAGCCTTTGCCCAGACGATGCACACTCTAGGGTCCTTGGAACTCCTGGCTGTCTGGCTGCCCCTACTTGGGCGTAAACTTCTCGCATTACTGTGCCATAAAGGACACTCGCAGTGGTATCTTCAGCTCTTACTTCTTCTTCATCCTCAGCTCTTTTCTCCTCGCTCCATCTGCATCTGTCAGCGTATTTCCGGCGTGTGTGTATGAGCATGTGTGCCTGTTTGTTTGTCTTTGTCTCTGGCAGTTTACCTAATTACATTCCGGAAATAAAACGTTGACTGATTGTGCCAATAAATGAAAATAATGACGCACCATTGACTGCAAACTGGAACCGACAAACGGGCAAACTCTGGGCGAACTTTTTCCCCCAGTTTTCTAAGCAGAGCTGGTCCGCCAAAAGAAAAAGCACACGAGAAGGAAAACTTCTTGCCCGTCTGGGTCTTCCTCTTCCTCTGCCGCCTTTCTTCCGCCCTTCACTCTCGCTTTTTTTGCGAGTCCTGACGAGTTTATTTGCTCGAGCAGCGTTAACTGATTGTCTGTGATTTTCTTGTTTTTAGATAATGAAAGCTGCAGCAATCTGCGGCTGCGGGTACATAAAAAAAGTGGAATAAAATAAAATAAAAGTAAGGGTCCCCGGCAAGTGTAACTTTTTATATGCTCAGGCAACAGAAATTGCCGGCCATTTATACGGATACTGGGCGGAAAGTGAGATTGAGTGGGTCAGTGTGGCAGATAACTGGGCAAAAAGGAGGGAAATTAACATACACGACTCGATGTTTGATGGTCAGGTTTTCATTGCCTGATATATGGTTATTATTTTCCAGTGGCCGTTTTGCCAAAGACCAAGACTATTTGTCTTCTGAGACTGTTAGTAAAGGTTAGAGAAAATAAACGATGTAGAACTTTTCTAGACGTTTAATGTTAATTTATCCAACTATTATTTAAAACCCTGTAAAAAATTAAAAATAAATCCTTTTCCTTTGCTATTCATTAAGCTTGACTTGAGTAAAAGCCTTGAGACATAACTTTCAATAATTTAATTTGCAATACGCTTGAAAGGTCGCTCGTTTTCTTAGTTATTTTCCCCGCCCCCCTCATTCCTTGTTAGCCGGAGAATTCAAGCGGAATTTGGCATTGCAGCTGCGAAGATAACGCTTTCGACGTGAAAATGCTTTCAGTGCTCGACAAGGTCTGAAGCGTGTTAGCCATCTTCCGCTTGGATTTCTGGCTAGTCCCAAAGTATGCAATCCTCCTCTGCTCACCCAAATCTGGCCAAGAGCGTGAGCTGGCTGAAATGGAAAGTTAAGTTCGCCCAGCTGAGGGCCCGAAACTTGGTCCCAACTAATTTCAGCACAATAACCCAAATTGAAGCGGTTTGCTGGCGCTTTGTTTGTCCCCGAAGCGAATCGAGACGAGACGCGTGACGAAGGCTCGTTCGGCACTCGGCTGATGGCTGCACAAATCGAGTGAGAGAGAGAAAGTGAGTGGTGACAGCAGAGAAACGAAAGGAGAGTCAAACTATGCGCACAAACTTGAAGGAAGAGAAAGCGAGAGAGAGCCGGAAGCAGAGAAATGTTTGCTATAAAAATGGTAACAGCTGTTGTTTGAGGATTGGCAATATTGAAAGCGGTTTGCAAACAAAACAATATTTTAATTGAGTGCTCTTAAAATAAATGAGGTTTTAATTAAGGGTAACAAATGTGATTAAAATTATTATAATGATTAAGAACAGGACTTAGAAGGCAAGTAAAACAAACATGAGTAAATCAAATAAATTAATATTTACTTAATTAAATTTGTTTATAAAAATTTAAACATTTTTTATTTTTTTTTTGTGTTATTATTTTTTATTTCAAATTTCTTAAAAATTTTATTTACTATATATACATTACTTTTAAGACTGGCGAAATTAGTTTCTAAATTGTTTAAGTAGTTAAATGTTAGAACAATAATGTCTGAATGTTGAAATAATCAAATTAAAAAAAATTATCAATGTTAAAATTTCTATTTTCCAGATTCGTAGCATAATCGTACCTACCAAAAGGATAAATTAGATAATTAATTAATCAAACTCAGTTACCGCTTCGTGTTTAATTCCCCAGTTGAATTGATTTACCGGAGAGGGCAGGGATTCGCTTTCCCCCACAAAGGACCAATTAGGCAAACATTTTACGCGGACCAGAGATGCTATAAAATGAGAGAGCGGGCGAGTTTCCCGAAAGGAAAGTGAGAGAGTAATTTTTCCAGAGAGGCCGAAGACGAAGCCTGTGCAGACTTTTCCGCTGCCTGCTGCTGCTGCTGCCGCTGATGATGTTGCTGCTGGTTTTGCCCGATTTTCCTTGGCTCCTCGTGTCAGTCGCGTGCGAAAGCGTAAAGTAAACAGACAGGCGGCTAAGCGGCAGAAGGAAAAGCAGTGAACAGCAGGAAAAGCAGCAGCCGTGCAACCGAAGGCAAAACAACAAAGCTCGAGCGAGTGGCTGGCAGATTCCCACGCTGCTGCTGTTCAGTCAGTTGAACTTTGACCACGGCGGTAACGGGTTCGTTCGCAACGGCAGTGCAGTTTTCAATAGAATCGGTGCTTCTTGGTGCGGTCTACGCGGCGTATGCGCAACTTCTACGCAACGTGAGCAGTTTTTTGCGGAACAATAAATGATGAATTCCGAATGTGCTGGCATATGGCAGCCACGTGCTCCGAGCTAAAATGTGACTAAAGGACTGCCAACAAAAAACCAAATGCTTTTTGTCAGCAAAAAATAATAAAACAATAAAAAACGCTTAATTAAAACATGTAAAGTTAATTGCAAATGGCGCTTAGCAATGTGGTCACTTAAAATGTGCATAAATCAACACAGAAATTGCATTTAATTTCGTTTTAAAAAAAAAAAAAAAACAAATTGTGCGGCACAAAAAAAAAAACAATTAGAACCGAAGCGAAGCGTTTCAATTAAAGCAATGTCATCCAATTGAAATGCCAGTGCAGTGACAAATGAAATGAAATTAAAGCGCTGATAAATTGAATCAGAAATGCAAAACAATTGACAGCAAAAATAAAGGGGAAAAACCATAGCATCAACAACAACAAAATGCCGGCATCAAGTGGATTATATCGTATACATCGCATCAAGCACGGCCGTGTCCTTGACAGGCTGCAAAAACCCACGGCACTTATTTTTATTATAGCCTATATTGCGGCATGCGGCATTTGCGGTAAATATCACACACAAACATCACGACTTTTGACTAAAACAAAATAATAAAGCCCACACAAAAGCGTGGCGCAGAAATTACAGAAATATATAATGATGCATATAATTTATATTTATTTTACACACCGATTTTCAATTTCATATTCATTGCAATATTGCGGGGAACATTCAATGCAGCTCACCGAACACGATTTAATTTAATTAGCATCGCTGTAATGCATGAAATATTGTCAAAAAGCATTTGGCGAAGCATCAAATTAAATGTGGCAAATATCGTGGACGAACCGCAACAAAGGAGAATTCGAAATCGAAAACGAGAAATCGGCAAATGGAGAAATCGTTAATTTGTTACATTTCATTGGCGCTGTCGAGTGCAGTGACAGGTCAGGCGATGAGCGCGGAAATCACCTGTGCATCACCTGTCAATGGCTGACACCGCAACAACAGCAATGGGGGTTTCCCCTGTCCCCCCCGGGAAAACAACAAGAACACTTGTCTACAACTCTCACTGAAAGCGCCCCCCCGCCGCCGCTGACTGTCTCTTTCTGTCTGTCTATCGCCCTCTCCCTCTCTCTCTTACCATATATCTCTCTTTCACTGGGCTGGCAATTTGTCAAGCAATCAACAAAGCCAGAAATTGCCCGGCAATAAGACCGAGAGCACCAGAATGTTGGTTGGCCCAATCGGGGAAGCTAGCAAACAGCTAGTAGGAATGCGAATAAACCTATTGAACAGGCCAAAAGCGGGATAGAGATTACACTGGGAGAAAATCTTGCTAGTAAAATGCATTCTATTGATATAGATTAGGGTTATTTCATATCTGAATATAACAACTTTTGAGGTACTCTTGAGTTGGCACTGCTTTTATAATTAAGTGGGCAGGGTTTCAATTTGGCTCTTTTATCATTTCAGGTTATTGAGATCACCTTTTTTTGATATTGAAATAAGATCCTACCAAAACTATAATCGGATAATTAAATATCAATTACGGTTTATTTTAAGAGTGTATAAAAAATACATTTTGAATATAAAAATTTGGGTTTGTCAAAATCTTGTGTTTTTTGAAATTTTAGACAGTTTAGTCGTCAAAAACTATAAATATTTATAACCATTACTTAGTACTTTCTGTAATATGAGGTTATCTAAAACATAACACCTAAATTAAGTCTTCTTACATACTCATTATTCTCAACAGATTGAACAAATAAGAATATCAATATCTTTTAAACTCCAGAAGACATTGATTCTTGGGCATATTGACTAAATAATGTTCGAGTAGTTGCCTCTAAAAACGATATTTTTCGCAGTGATTTGGGCAACACTCAGAAGAACACCAATATGTGGAACTAGAACACTGGCTGTGCCACATTTTGTGCGTGCCCCCGATGGGGGAATGTCGATGGGGGAGGCCGGGGGAAGGGAAGTCCGTAAAATCGTCACAAAATAAAAAATACTACTGGAAAAAAAAAGAAAACAGTGCCATGTCTTCACACACACTTGCACACACACAGTAAGGCCCCTGGGGCAGCTCACACACACCACTGCATCGGCGAGTGCTACTGGCGACTATCTAGCGCATCCATTGTTGCATGCCACACACCAACACATGCCTTTTGGGGCACACACTCCAGCTGTCGTTGTATTTGTCGCTGTCGTTGTCACTGTCAATGCTGTAATGAAAAATGCACAAACACAAAAACGAAAGACGAAAAAACAAACCGAATCCGAAACTGGAAACTGAAAATAGAAACAAACAGAGGATGGAATAAAAATGCAGAATGCACGGGAGCTTAGGGCTAAAGTGAAAAAACAATTTCAGCTGCGCCTGCCGCTTTTTATTTAGAGCGCATTAATATTTAGCCAGCCGCATGAACGTGCCTAGGAATACCCATGTAGGCCCATATAAATCAATATTTATATTTATGCCAGCGGTGCATGTCTGTGGATCGAGCCATGGGATTTTTTGAAGGCCATCGGGGTCGCAGCAAATGCATTACTCGCTGCACCCAAATCCGGAGCAGCTCAATGGATCTGAATATTTGCATAATGTAACCGAAAAATATATTTTCCAAATATTCTCCGCACTGCAGGCTGTATACTAAGTGGGGGGTAACCTGTCACTTTGGTGGGTCGAAAGTGCGAATGGGTCCCTGCTGAACGCTCTGCGAAGTGTTTTCGAAGCGAATATAAACGTAAACATAAAAAAGATCGAACGACTCGGACAAATAAACGATGGAAATATGTAAATACCCTCGGCAAATATTCACTTATTCAATTATTCACGTTGTTTATCAATCGTTTTGGATGTCATACAAGTTTAATATTATTCCTAGGGCGGTCATTTAAATATGCAAGTATTAGATTTGTTGATTTTCTATGCTCATCTGCAGTTGGCTTGCAATTTTGCATGATTTTTTGAAATTGTTTTACCTATTTTAAGCAGCCAAGAATAAAATTGGCTGGCTTACCGCATCCACCGGCTTTGATTTGCATAGGAGCTTAAAGAGTCTATTTAATTTCGTTGAACTTTTCCAATATGCTTGCGCCCGTCTTCCATTAGACAGATCGAATCAAAAGTTTTGCACTCCGGTTTTCAATTTAATCTGGTTTCTTCCACCCTCGCCAAACTGACGCAGCATTGTGTGCTAGCCACGTGGCTCAAATGCCTGAAAAACAGTCGCATATTGCACTTGCAGCTGCAGCTTCGAAGAGTTTCAGCCCAGTTCAGTTCAGTTCGGTTAGGACAGTTAGTAGAGCATGACAATTTCATGGCGCACACGGATGGTGTGTGTGTGTGTGTATGAGCTAGGACCTCCGTTCGAAATTGTGAAATTGCTGTGAAAGTCGGGCAAAAAGTTAAAACCATTGATGCCTGCCTCGGGATAAGTGGGCCACTTGCGGCTGGGCGGGTTAATTGGGCTAACTATCGCAGGACCTCCCTTATCCAGCTGCCTGTTTCGGATTTTTTCTTGGCTGCGTTGGTTAATTGCCAGCATACCCGATATCAGACCTTTTTTGTAACCCGAAACGTTGGAGATGAGAGCCCTTACAAAGAGTTGAAAGGGCCTCCGCACATAGCCAAATTAGTCGAATGAAATTAATAGTTGACTGCCTTTTCACTATATGCCTGTACATTCATTGAACTAATTGAAATCTGTGATGCTTTTCACACTACCATGAAAATGTTTTAACACTTTAATCGTTTATATTCATTTAAATTGAGGTCTTATATCGTGTAGTTATAATTAAAAGCAATATACCTACTGGAAATACTTGATAGTAATAAAATAATCAGGGACCGTAATCATTATAAGTGATATAATAAAAATCAATATTTAATGATTATTTATTGATTTTTATAAATTGAACTCCATTTTAATAATTAATTGTTGAGTTTTTTTCAATCGCTCAAAGAATAATTATTATTATTGTGAGCGAAAAAAATATCGATTAAAAAATAATGATTATTTTTTTAGCGTTATTTTTTCGCTCAAAATATCGCTCTTCTAAATATATAAAAAATTATTTTTTAAACTTTTTTTTCAAATCTAAGAATGAGGTTTTGTGGGGTCGTCGAGGTTCACTTTATAATGCTGCGAAAACATTTTTCCAAAGAAACTACTGAGAAAGGAGATATCCCACTTTGAGCGATATTTTGAGCGAAAAAATAACGCTCAAAAAATAATCATTATTTTTTTATCGATATTTTTTTTGCTCACAATAATAATAATTATTCTTTGAGCGATTGAAAAAAACTCAACAAATAATTATTAAAATGGAGTAAAATGTATAAAAATCAAGAAGTAAAAGATCATTGCGGATATGGATAGAGCACACAAATAGTAGCCCATTGGTATAATTCTTTTGTTTGTACGGCTTTTCCAAGTGGATGATTTTTTTGCTTGAAAAATACATTGATAATCATTATTTACGGTCCCTGAAAATAATTAGTTTAAAAGGTAGTATTGGTTTTAAACAAGCATGGGTAGACACTTTAAATTTGCGTTAAAAATCTCAAGGTGGATTGGTGTGGAATACAATTTCAAAGGAGTATTAATAGCGCATCTTTTCACCTTGAAACCAATCTAAAATTCCCTGAATGGTAAATAAATCACCTGCTAATGCCATAGATACCCCCCAGCCCATTTTTTGTGACTACCCCTAGAAATATGAGCCCGTTTCGGGGAGAATAAGATAATCGATTGACAATGCCAGATGACAAAGCGAAAGATGCCAGAGGAAAGTTTTACACACAGGGATAAAGGATGCATTTGTTAATGACGCGCGATGATTGACGAGGAGCAGGAGCACAAAAAGGACCAAGGATGAGGGGCGAAAGCGGCTTTTACCAATATGTCTTCATTGCCAGCATCATAATTTTGAGTAAACCAGACGAAGGGAAAGGTGCACCAAGGGAATCGAAGGGAAAGGGCACGGGATCCGGATCCTGTGACTCGGGTCAAGGCCTACACGTGGAGATGTGGCTAAGGGGGCAGGTTGAAAGCGCGTTGGCAGGCATAATTTAATACGAAACATGCAGGGGCACTCACACACAGGCAGCCACGTTGAATGCAACGGTAACAGAGCCATAAAGCTCACCTGTTACAAATGCAACGCCACGTGGGCGTGAGCCATCGCCCATCGCCCAACGCCCATCCCTTCCCATTCCATCCCGTTACCGAAGCCTGTATCCTCTGCATCCTTACACTGCGCTGCGGCAGCCATAATAATCAGCACAAAAACTAATGGTCCCATACACACACTTGCCGCACACACTGCCCCCCGAAAGTATACACACACGGGCACATGGCTGCACTTTAAGCGCTGAGAGCACGTAAATTCTACATAATTCAAAGGAGGCGCCGCCTTTTGGCAATGGCAAATGCGAAGACATGGACATGTGTGCCAGTTCACTGAGCCAAAAAGAAGGATACCTTAAAGCTTTAAGAAAGGAAAATCTAAGTATTCAAGCACATATGATGGCCAGATGTCGTATTATAT